CTTTCTGAAACTTTAATTCAGTTTATCCTTATATGTGAAAGATTCTCATTCCTTATAAAAAAGAAAAACAACCGAGTTAGTAAGAGTGGGAAAACAAAAGACAAAGAGGAGAAAAAAGAACATCTGGCATTACTCACTAATGATGCCTGCTGGTAGTTCTACACACAATATTTGCACCCAATGAAATGAAATCTGTCTGTTTTTTAAAAAATCTTTCATTTGCTAAAATATGTGTTTTTTCATTATCAAATCATCACATAAATTCTTTGCTTGATTGAAAATTAAACTTTTTGATTATTTGGATGAATTTGTAAAAATGTATCTACATTCTGGCTATATGATACATACTGAACAAAATCTACACAAGCATAATCAACATATAATATAACAATTTTATACGCATCGAATAAAAGCAGACATAGGCAAAAAACCACATATTGTGCATTAGCAAATGATTTAATTGTATGTATGAATATATCACATATTACATTGTTTTACTAAAGAATGTTTGCTAACTCCAGAGCACTCATACATGAGAAGGTGAGTTGGAATCAGAGGAAGAAAGAATACACATAGAAATAGTAAATATTTCTTGAAGGATAAAAAAGGAACATAAATTCAACACAATTATTTAAAATATGGAAAAACATTGGATTTACAATTTTTGCTTGCAAAACAGATGGATTTGAGATGAGCTTTGTGCAAATGTGAATGCTCTTACCCATAGTACTGAGAAAGTTAGAAAAGGTTAAGGTGTCAAGGATTGCGCTGTGTGTACTTAAGACTGCTATTGTTCCAGTGATACCTAACAAGACTGGGCTTCTCTCACTTTCTGTCTAATCCTTTCAAAAGTGTATGCGCTCCCATTCTTCTTTTGTGATGGGGTACATTTTTCTTCACAGGAAATGGAAGACTTTGTGCAGAGCTCTGGAGAACACGGTATTGTGGTATTTTCTCTAGGGTCGATGGTCTACAACGTAACAGAAGAGAGGGCCAATGTGATTGCTTCAGCTCTTGCTCAGCTTCCTCAAAAGGTTAGCTAAAGTGCCATAACACTACACAGACACACACTTAATCTATTAAATTCTATCAAGAATCCAATTGCTAAAACTCCTATGTGAAAATTAAAATTATAGTTGGAATTTAACTTAGCCAGTTTAAACCAAGCTATCAATGGTATATGTTAATGAAAGAGGGAGGATCTAGTTCATAATAATGTTGATATTAACAATTTCACTGGAAAGATATATACGTAACAGGTTAAACTGTGAACTTGTGTTACCATGACATTGTTTGCAGTAATTCAGAAATGACTGAGTACTGTGTTGCCCCTTGTCTTTCTTTTGGGCATGGTTTTTCAGGCATTGTACATACTCAGATGTTTCGGGAAGGTGTTAAAGCTGTTTCCAACCTCCCTAGCAGAAACTAATATGCAGATATTTGAAAGAGGCTGAATATCATCATACAATTTAAGATGAATGTGGAAACCTGGCCTCATAATTTATCATACTTTGGAATCAGACTATTAAGTGTGTTGTTCAGGGTAGAATTTTGAGAATGTTGCTAGAGTTTATCAATTCTAAATAGAAGGGCAATGCAGATCCCCAAAATTAGAGAGAAAGGGAGAAATGGCAGTCTTGCCTCCTGATCTGGAGCCTGCTAACATCTAAAAGAGGAAGATGCAAGAGGGTGGAAAGGGGCCAGGCTTTTCTAGTTAACTCAGGGCATCAATAAAATATGTCTCCCAAGGACACTGCTTGCTATGAACCAGACTGAAACTTCCAGGGAATTGAACAAGGAGAAGTATAGTAAAAAATACTCAAGCTTAATGCAGCCTGGAATA